TAAGGTTTTTAAGGGTTTGGAGCGTTTGGAGGGTTTAAGGGCTGGCAAACGGCAGGCTTGGACGCCCATAAGAAGCCATTGATGTGTGGCCTTGGGGGAGGGTTGCCAAGTCAGCGTTTGAAGGGCTTTAAGGTTTTTAAGGGTTTGGAGCGTTTGGAGGGTTTGGAGGGTTTGGAGGGTTTGGAGGGTTTGGAGAGTTTGGAGGGTTTAAGGGCTGGCAAACGGCAGGCTTGGACGCCCATAAGAAGCCATTGATGTGTGGCCTTGGGGTGCCTGTTGGCTGCGGATGAAGCATGCCAAGGGATTTTTTAAGCGGCCCAGAAGAAGCCATTGATGTGTGGCCTCGGGGTGGCTGTTGGCTGCAGGATGAAGCATGCCAAGTCAGCGTTTTAAGGGTTTCCCAAAGCATTGGGGGAGGGTTGCCAAGTCAGCGTTTTAAGGGTTTTAATGTTTTTAAGGGTTTGGAGCGTTTGGAGGGTTTGGAGGGTTTGGAAGGTTTAAGGGCTGGCAAACGGCAGGCTTGGACGCCCATAAGAAGCCATTGATGTGTGGCCTTGGGGTGCCTGTTGGCTGCAGGATGAAGCATGCCAAGGGATTGTTGAAGCGGCCCATAAGAAGCCATTGATGTGTGGCCTTGGGGGAGGGTTGCCAAGTCAGCGTTTTAAGGGTTTTAAGGTTTTTAAGGGTTTGGAGCGTTTGGAGGGTTTGGAGGGTTTGGAGGGTTTAAGGGCTGGCAAACGGCAGGCTTGGACGCCCATAAGAAGCCATTGATGTGTGGCCTTGGGGGAGGGTTGCCAAGTCAGCGTTTTAAGGGTTTTAAGGTTTTGAAGGGTTTGGAGCGCGTTTGGAGGGTTTGGAGGGTTTAAGGGCTGGCAAACGGCAGGCTTGGACGCCCATAAGAAGCCATTGATGTGTGGCCTTGGGGTGCCTGTTGGCTGCGGATGAAGCATGCCAAGGGATTGTTTAAGCGGCCCAGAAGAAGCCATTGATGTGTGGCCTCGGGGTGGCTGTTGGCTGCAGGATGAAGCATGCCAAGTCAGCGTTTTAAGGGTTTCCCAAAGCATTGGGGGAGGGTTGCCAAGTCAGCGTTTTAAGGGTTTTAAGGTTTTTAAGGGTTTGGAGCGTTTGGAGGGTTTGGAGGGTTTGGAGGGTTTAAGGGCTGGCAAACGGCAGGCTTGGACGCCCATAAGAAGCCATTGATGTGTGGCCTTGGGGGAGGGTTGCCAAGTCAGCGTTTTAAGGGTTTTAAGGTTTTTAATAAGGTTTTTAAGGGTTTGGAGGTTTGGAGCTTGGAGGGTTTGGAGGGTTTGGAGGGCTTAAGGGCTGGCAAACGGCAGGCTTGGACGCCCATAAGAAGCCATTGATGTGTGGCCTTGGGGTACCTGTTGGCTGCAGGATGAAGCATGCCAAGGGATTGTTTAAGGATGAAGCATGCCAAGTCAGCGTGGTAAGGGTTTCCCAAAGCATTGGGGGAGGGTTGCCAAGTCAGCGTTTTAAGGGTTTTAAGGTTTTTAAGGGTTTGGAGCGTTTGGAGGGTTTGGAGGGTTTGGAAGGTTTAAGGGCTGGCAAACGGCAGGCTTGGACGCCCATAAGAAGCCATTGATGTGTGGCCTTGTGGAGGGTTGCCAAGTCAGCGTTTTAAGGGTTTTAAGGTTTTTAAGGGTTTGGAGCGTTTGGAGGGTTTGGAGGGTTTGGAGGGTTTAAGGGGGTGGCAAACGGCAGGCTTGGACGCCCATAAGAAGCCATTGATGTGTGGCCTTGGGGTGCCTGTTGGCTGCAGGATGAAGCATGCCAAGGGATTGTTTAAGCGGCCCAGAAGAAGCCATTGATGTGTGGCCTCGGGGTAGCTGTTGGCTGCAGGATGAAGCATGCCAAGTCAGCGTTTTAAGGGTTTCCCAAAGCATGTAATTTTCATGTCCAAATGCCTGGAAGTCTGAACTGGAGGACGAAGCATGGCAGGAAAATGTTTACGCGATGTGGCCTTGGGGCAGCTTGCTGGCTGCGAGATGGGTTTGACCTTGGAAAGCCCATAAGAAGCCATTGATGTGTGGCCTTGGGGTGCCTGTTGGCTGCAGGATGAAGCATGCCAAGGGATTGTTTAAGCGGCCCATAAGAAGCCATTGATGTGTGGCCTCGGGGTGGCTGTTGGCTGCAGGATGAGGCATTCATGTCCAAATGCCTGGAAGTCTGAACTGGAGGACGAAGCATGGCAGGAAAATGTTTACGCGATGTGGCCTTGGGGCAGCTTGCTGGCTGCGAGATGGGTTTGACCTTGGAAAGCCCATAAGAAGCCATTGATGTGTGGCCTTGGGGTGCCTGTTGGCTGCAGGATGAAGCATGCCAAGGGATTGTTTAAGCGGCCCATAAGAAGCCATTGATGTGTGGCCTCGGGGTGGCTGTTGGCTGCAGGATGAGGCATTCATGTCCAAATGCCTGGAAGTCTTAACTGGAGGACGAAGCATGGCAGGAAAATGTTTACGCGATGTGGCCTTGGGGCAGCTTGCTGGCTGCGAGATGGGTTTGACCTTGGAAAGCGCAGAAGGAGAAGTTCCACACCTGCGGTGGTCCCAGGCGCCGCCCCTGCCTTGGCCAAGGCCGGGGTCGGCGGATATGGGATCATTATGTATGATCCTCTAGCCAAATACCATCAAATACCATCAAATACCCTTCGGCGGCCAAACATTGCCATGGAAACTCATGGAAAAGCACAAATTCTCGGATATCCTCATTATTGAAAATTGAAAATGATGGATTCTTCATCGCCGGGAGGGATACATGGGGATATCACATACAGAAGTCGTCAATTCAAAGGTCGTGGACTTCACTCACGGAGATCCAATCAAGTTGAACTCAAAGTCTTTGAAGGTGGACGTTTCATCTATCAGCCGCTCAGCAGAAAACAGATGTAATGGGGCAGCTGGTTGCATTTTTGTCGAGTGGACGGCTGAAAAGAGAAGCACCTGATTTCTGCCATTCCCAGGCAAATTTCATGAAATTACAAGGTTGTGAGGTCTATAAAGCAGCGTACAAACGGGTAGGCCCCAGAAGACTCAATGGTTGTGGGATAAACTTGCAGACAATCGTTTGATAAGCAGCGGCCGTAGCGAGGCCCCTGCACAATAACTCCTTGTGAGATCCCCCAACTTTGACCAATTTTCCTCATCTCCAGGCGGCATTTCAGGCGCATTGGCCCTGCTTGGTGGGTCGATGAGAACACAACTGCCAGAGGACCAGGGTGGGAATGGCTTAGCAGATGGATTCTGAGAAATTCACGTACGACAAGGTAATGAATGATAATTGATAATGGATGCATAAATATATCTAAATGTCGTAAATGGCTAGATATGGCCAGCAACATCGTCCAGTTGATGATGTTGATGTCATGGCCATGCAGCGTAACCCGAACTGCCGCAGATCTACGCAGATCTGTTGTGGTGTCGAGGACGCTGGCACTGTCATTTGGAAGACGGCGACCACGTGCTCAGCCTCTCTGGCACCTCCAAAATCCTAAAGGCTCACCGAGCACGGGACGGTCGATACCACAGACGCTTGGCGATGGGCCAGTGAGGATGCTCTGCAAATATCGGTAATGTGCTAGAACTAGTGTCATTCTGGTAGTCATTTTAAAAATATCTAAAAATCTTCCAAGACTGGCCCGGGATGCTTGCTCAAAGTTTCATTGGGGGTTGGTTTAGGGCCTTTAGGGTTTATTCAGGGATATTCAGGGCCGTTTTTGTTTTCTTAGGGTTGGGGTCCGTTTTCGGATTCTCTTAGGGTTGGTGTAATTTTTCCCGAATGCGTAGCGAAGGGTTCTCGTTTTACTTTGGGGGTCTGGGGGTGGAGACGTGTTCGCTCGATGCCGCTTCTGCGACCGCAACCGTCGGCAACCGTTGACAATATGGCCGTGCCTATGGCGAGTTCTGCAAAAGTGGTCACTTTTGGAGGTTTCAAACGTCGCGTAGCCTTGTTTCACGTGGCAGGCGTGGTACTTTGTGACATTCCAACATTTTTCATAACGTGTCGAAAGTCGTTTTGTGTGGCTTGCGCAATACTTTTGCGTCGTTTTCAGAAGATGAGTTGCATTTTTCATGGCGCAGCACTTTGGAGACCTCCTTCGTCATTCTGCGTGGCAGGCGCAACACTTCTGACGTGTCGTGTGGCGTGTTCTTGGCGAATCGCATTGTCAGGGCTGCGCGAAATGGATACAAGGAATTCCATGGCAGGCGTGGCATTTTGTGAGACGTGATGCAAATTGATGGAAGCCTCGCACGAAACATCGATTTTGAGGTAGCAAATTTTGAGGTTCATGAGAAAACTTGTAGGACAACGCCGATTTTGAAGCTACAAAGTGTGAAAAAATCAGGAAGTCTTGCACGAAATGCTCGATTTCAAGCTCCAACATGTCTTGTCTCGATTCTCTGGTTTTCTTCTGCCGTCGCTGTGTCTATGGGGGAAGCTGCAAAACTTATCATTTTCGAAGGTTTCAAAACAAGTTGTCATCTCGTTTTACGTGGCAGGCGTGGCACTTGCTGACATTTTCACGTCTCTCATCGTCTCTCAAAAAAGTCCTTTTGCACAATACTTTTTTGCAGCGTTTTCAGAAGATGAGTTGCATTTTTCGTGGCAGGCGTGCGTATCACTTTGGAGACCTCCATCGTCATTTTACATGGCGGGTGCGTGTTTTTTGCGAATCCCATATGAATTTCGGGAAACCGGAGAGAATCCACTAAGGACATTTGCAAGCAAGCGCTTTTACCTGGGCAATGCCAAAGTCGCAGCTCTTGGATGAGTGGCTCGCAACCACGCTGAGTTAAATCTGAGATACAAAAAAATGCGGCATGGATGCAGCTTCGGACTTGACATACAAACTTTGTTTGGTTGCTTCACTTAGCATTACATCATCAAAATTGATCAACATTTGCACATGTGACACATTCAGATTTGCGTCTCTATTTTTAACATTTTAACTGCTCAGTTCTTGGCTCCTACGCCTTCACCGGCTCCACGGTGCAGGCGCTGCAAGCAGCGATGCAGCTCGCTGTTTTTGGGCGGCAGCCACTTTGAGGTGGCGGCAAGAGGAGTTTTTGACAGGTGCAGTTGGGGCACCTGGGGCAGCTGATGCAGCATTCAATTCACATCAATATTATATATTTATTTATTAATATATATATATCTATATCTACACCCCTAGTATAATTATTAATTATATATATAATTATATAATTATATAATCAGTTCACTATGTCGGTATGTCAAGTTCGTAGACTTTACTGATCCATGATCCACCTATATGGGATCAACTCTGGCGCTGTATTTTATGCACGCAGTTTGGCACCTTCCTTTGCTCTGCAGGCGCAAAGGAAATGGCCAGACCCTTGCTACTCCAGTGTTCGGAGCAGGATCTGAGTAGCTTGGCTCATTTTGATTCATTTTGAACAGACCCACTACCCTGAGTTCACCATAGGGAAGAATGTTGTCATGGGCCGGGATTCCGCTGGCAGGTAACATTGCTTGGGCATCCGCCTCCTTGGGTTTCAACCCTTCTGGATGGATCTCAGAAGTGGTGGGCTCCTACGCCAGACAATACTCGGAAGCCTGTTCACCGCAAGCTGTTGCCAACTTGCTTTGGAGTGCCTTGGACTCCTTGGACTATGGACAAGTGATGACAAGTGTCTAGAAAATTCTGGGACATATTTCTGTGACACCAGGCTTTTCCACTGTTCTCCAATTTGGGGGAGAAAACCGACATGCACTACAGTTAGACCACTTTTCTTGCTGCTTGTTTGTATGGCGTCGCCGGCGTATGAAGGGTAGACCATTCTGTCAAATCGCAGAGCTGTGCGGCTCGAGCTGCAAAGTGGCAGTGGACTATTGATACCATTTCCAACGGCGGTTCCGCCTCAGGTTTGGCCAAAGCTTTTGAAGGTGGCTTCGGAGATCAGGCCATCCTGCCAATGCCAATTGCAAAAGAACCATGCTGATGAAACAAATCAATACAAATCATCACTGCAATAAATATAATTAATATAATTGTTATATTGTAACAATCTGTAACAATCTCATACAATTGCCATCATACTGTAACATGTTTGTAACATAACATAACCATTTCCTGCATAGTTGCAGGCTGTTGCTAAAGGCTCACCTGCAGCATGAATGCTGATCTCCTGGAGACGGCTTTTTCGTCTGATTTTCTCCACATCATTATAGGTACCTACCATAAATGTATTGGTACAAATAAATATCAATAATATCAATAATGTATATCAATTAAATGTATAACATCCCAAAGGTGGATGAAGGTTGGTAGGCCTGAGGTTTTCTCCTGCAAGCATATCATTCTTCCTCACCAGCGGTGCAAACTTTCCAGGCTCATGATGTTGCAATGCAGTTCGACGCAGCAATACTTTCTTGCTTGCCTTCCGCGCAGCCACAACACGACACTTGGACGCCCAGAATACACTCAGTAGGAATTGGCATTGTATATCATTTCTTTAAACAAATGGTAAGCCATTATAGTAGCCCATTGTAGCATATATATGCATAGTTATATATAAATGCCATGAACAGCAGTGCTTGGGCCCATCCAGAATTCAGAATTGGGAATGCTTCACCAAAGATCTACCATCCCACCTGCCTATGAAGTACAGGAGAGCGGTTACCATGTGACCACAGAAAGAGGTTCAAGAGCTGGTGCATGACAATCGATTCGGATCTCACCAAGCTACACGTTGGAAGCTTGCCTTAGCTACATTCCAGGTTGCTAATATCCTTTGGTCACTCGCAAAGCTCGGTGTTCCATTGGACGCGGAAGGCCGAGCAGATGGAGGTTTCAAGCGGGTGCCCACGGATCCTAAAAGCCAATTTCAATCCAGGTTTTTACATGTGGAGTATGGGCGGTATTACGGACCGCAACTCTTGACCGTGTTGGCATTCCTAGGATTGCGATTGTTCTGTTGGAGTGTTTCCGTATCGTAGATATATTGTATGAATATTGTGGATAAGATTCGCCTTCGAACAAGGTTGAAATGATTGGATGTTATTGGATGCTATAGTGGTTTCTCACCTGAGCTTGAGCTTCCAAAGGCACCGTGACACCTCTCTAACCCTCCCTGCCAGGCAAGCTGGTTGAGAGCTTGAGCACTCGCATGAGTGAGCTGCTTGAGGACTTGCCTGGCAGCCACAGTTTGGCATCATATGACAAGTTGCAACATCTTGATGACGAAAATGGGAACATAGAGGGAGAGATAGAGAGAGAGAGAGAGAGATGAAGTCAAAGTATGTGAAAGATGTGGGCTTTGGAATGCTCTGTGGGCATGTGTGCAAGTTGAGTGCCCACGGTTTTATCCCCATTGACCCTTCGGTTCCCTCACCTGGCAGGTGGAAAGTGGGGCTGAAAATTCTTACAGAAAGTGATCGCCTCGAAACCTGCAAATATCCATGGTTCAAATAAATCCATCGCAGCACCCATCATTTGTCTCTCAAACATCCATCAAGATGATTTCATGATTTCAAGCTATGTATAATATACAACACTAAGATTTATTAATATTCATTATTATTATTGCTATTTATTAGCATAAACCACAAAAATCATAACAAAAACAGCATTGAATTCCTGGATCCCACCCCAGGGTGCCCCAGGACGCTGAGATCCAACACTTGGCGTCGGGCACTTGGGCCTTGGCAAAGCTCCATGGCACCAAGCAGGCCACGGGCCGCACCTTGGAGTTCCTGCGGAGCTTGGTAGTGCCCTGGCCTGGGAATGGTAAATGGAGTGTCTCCATATCTATCACATATATATATATATGCATTTATATATTATATGATATGTATATATATAACTATATTATGTATATCCATATCGAGAATATGGCTGATATATGTGTGCAAGTGTCTATTGATGAACATGAACTTAAGATGACTTGAGTGTATTCACGGTGTTGGTGTTGATGATGGTTGACGATTGTTGTTGATGATTCGATGGTTCCTAGACTTCCTAGATATGTTTGACATTTTATTCAGGCGTGAGGGAGCTGAGCATTGTCTATGGTTCTACAGGAATTCTATAGGCTTTTATCTTTTCACATCAAGGGGTGGCACGGACAATGTCACAAGATGCATGCACACTGCAAAAAAGGCTCATTTGTCGCGGCCAAACGCTCAGGATTTTTTGCGGAAAGCACGGGTCAACAAGCGGTCCGATAGCCCGTGGAGAGTTCGCTTTGACGGACTTTTCCTGTCTCACATCTCCATACTTTGCTGGTCCTTTGCAAGGTGGCGTGTCAGCAGCGACATCAAACACATCCACAGTCCCAGTTATCGACGGTCTCAACAGTTCCATGCAGCATAACCTTTGACCCTGGCCACCATTTGACTGCTGAGGGTTATGGTCAAAGAACGCGTGACCCGACAGCTATTGAGAAGTGCCAGTAGGCAGCTGGATACTTTCACGGATGAAGGCGCACAGAGTGTTTGAATGTGAGAGCTGGTGGCAACCTCAGATTGAAACCTTTTCACTAGCGCAGTTACAAGAAAAGGCGAAGATGTGAACACTGATTATACTACATCATTTTTCACAGTACAGTGCAGTCACTGACAGGACTTGTGTTTTGATTCAAAGCTGGTACGTGCGGTGAAATCTTTTTGGGTCACGTTTCCGGCTTTGTGCTGGGCTGCTGATAATGGGGCCGCGGGTTGGCAGCTGTATGGAGCTTATGGAAGCAATTGGAAGCACTGGACAGTCCCAAGAGATGTGTGCTGTCGCCCAAGCTTTGAAGTGAATTGGGGCTCCTCTGATTGCAGATGTCTCTGGAGTGGATTTTGCAGGTGCCATTAAAGCACAAGAACATGCCAACTTGTTATGGGCTTACGCAGAGGCATGGTTGATTATCGCCTTGATTCTCTGGCCTCCAGTGCAAACAAATCAAATTGCACCTGGAGCAATTCAATGTTTGGGTTTGGATCATGTGATGCCATATCCATCCATATCCACTATGTATAGTTGATGTATGTTGATGATTTGTTGATGTGATTTGACATTGTTGTTTGCATGGCACTCCGAATGTTGGCAGTCATAGGATGTCATAGGCCAGCTACAGAAAATTGCATATGCTCAGAGGCCTGCGAAAAAACGTGGGCAGGAATGCAAAAGCCCTATGCAATGCTCAAGAGGTGCAATGTGGGCGGAGTGGCTGCAGTTGGGGTCACATGCCACATGCAGCTTGGAACATCTTGGAACTATATAGGAACTGATTCCAGGTATATAGTTGTTGGCGATGCTCAGGTTGCTATTTGATAGTCACTTAACATCACTTAACTATAGTACCAGTACCGCCAATACCAATACTACACTATACTATCCCTATGTTGTTCTCTGCCGTCCAGGCTAGTGAACCTCCTCTGCGATCCGAAGCTGCGATTGCAGGGAGAGAATGCCACATCCTTTGCAGCGGCAGTGAAAGCTTTGGCGCGGCTCCCCATTGGAGCTTCTCCACAGGTCGCTGGGAGGTGGATCAACATACTCTGTACCAAACTGTGAGGGTAAAACAATGTAAAACAAGTATAAACAAGTACTAGCACATGTTTTTATAGGGGAATTAAATTGAGGGGTCTAGGTCTGTAGATGTATGTTGATGATTGATGACAGAGTTTGTCCTTTTTCAGCTTTTGAATTTTGCCAAAACTCATGATGAGCTCATCGGAGGCCCGCCAATGGATGCAAGCCGCATCCGTTCGGCAAAGCAAACGCGCTGGCCACGCGGAGTTACCACCAGGGGAGGCAGGGGATGGCAGTGGACATGTTAAGGTTCGTTGTCTCAGCAGAACGGATGACAGGATCCGCCAAATCCATCAAAATGCACTCCACATGAATCCAAATGGATCCAAATGGTGCATTTAAAGATTTATATACTGTAGGAAGCCAGTGATTTGAGTATTACCCTGCCTTTGGACAGACTCATGATGGTTATGTGATGTCAATGTCATGTGACATGTGTGTTTTGCTGTGGGTGCGCCAGAGTGGACACACACCTTCGCATGGTAAGGTCGTTGCCATGGTTCGATCTTTGGCTTCATGTCGCTCACTGCATCAACGCATGATGACGAGCTCCTTGCAATTTCTACAAGAGGTGCAGGGCTGGCGGTGCGATGTTCGAGATCCGTGCCACTGTGGGATGATAAGCCCCAGATTTTACAGGTGAATGTTTCGTGGTTGAAGCAGCCCCATCCATCATCCAACCACGAGGATTCGCGCTACCAAGAGTTGCAGCCAGCGCAGTTGCAGATGTTGCTGGATGCATTGGCTTTGTTGAGACCAAGGCCGGGGCACTGTGTGAATCACAGAGATGGGGAGAGACAGATAGAGACAGGATCTATTCAGTCGATTTCAGTGGTGTATATGCATGAATATGTATGAATCATGTACGAATAATGTGTGAATATTGAATTGTACGTGCAATATGAGCAAAGGCTTTTTTTTTGGTACATGTGCAGTAGGAAAGATGAGTCTTGGGGTGGAAATCCTGCTCGCTTTGACACCAGTTTTTGGACGCAAAACGAGGTAGGTGCGCCTGAAAAAGCGGGGCCAGTCAAGAGTACGACTTAAAGCAGATAAGATATAATACCAAAATCCAAGCGTGGCGTTAGAAAACGAGATCAGTGATCAAAATGAGACCGGGGAACGGTAAAGAGGAAGAGTCCGCACCGAAATGCAGTAGCCTGAAACAACAACTCTCTTTGCAATCTGTTCAATTTATTTGTATTGATGATATTGATGTCCGTCATCACCTTGGTCCCCAATCATCTCACCTCCAATCCTGCTGGCAGGAAGTTAGCCCCGGAGCACCTGAGGTTCCTGCAAGTCGCGCCTTGGTTCAGTCAATGATCAGCTCTGCGATAGATAGCCAGATACTGTAGCGTTCGTTTGTGCAAGTTCTACATTTGTCAGAGATTTTGGAATATGACCCAAGAATAAAGATTATAATCTTACACCATCCTACAACTGATAGCTGATATGCATGGATGATGTGCATGTTCTCAATCTATCTCAATCTTTGATACCTTGACATCGTTTGGCTATGTTTGGCTCAAGAGCGTTTGGCTCAGCGGTATGAGACATAGATGTAGTTGTAAGAAAGTAGGCAAGACCAGACCAATACTTGCCATATCTTGCCATGTCTCAGTACGACTACGGCGACTACGCATGGTTTGGGACGAGCGGGCCGTGTGCATCGATGTCACCCTCTTCACCGCCATCCTGGTCACAACGATGCCTCCATGGGAAGCTCCATCGAATTTGAAGCTTGTCTTCTTCAGCTCAGAGTGGCAGTCACCCGCACAAGTTGTGCAAATCGTTCAGATGCTGCACTGGCAGATGCAGCAAACGCTGCGCCCAGAAGTCCAAGTGACAGATGTGACAGGGCCATCAGACACGACAGGAAACCGAGCGCGAGGGTAAGTTAAGCCCATGGTGACGGTTGCCGTGAAGAACATTCCGCTTCACTACGGCCAAGACATGTTTATAGACTCAGTCAAGAAGCATGGATTTGAGGGTCGCTTCGATCTTCTCTACATTGTACATGCCGTGGAACTCTCAGAGTGGCACCAACAAGGGCTTGGGCTTCGTGAACTTCATCAGTCCACACGACGCTCAACGATTTCAGAAGGACATGGAGGGGAAGTACTCAAGTACTTCGACGATGACATAATTTGTTGTCCTCGAAGTCGAAGTATTTAGGGATATTTAAGGTTATTTAAATACTTCCCCTTCATGTCCGACATACAGAGCGGCCCTCTCCAAATTGAACGCGCAGATGTCCAGGGCCTCAACTCCAACAGAGCACGCTTCACCAAAAACTCTGACTTTGGTCCGTGGTTGGCGCCTACCAAGCACCACGTGGTGCCATTGTGGGAGATTGGACAATGGGCCGGAATTCCCAGACACCGGAAGGAAAGCCAATCTGAGCCCAGGATGGAAACTTAGTTTGAACCCAGTGAATCCCGCCATCCGATTGTTCTTTACAGTTCGATCATTGTCAGGGTCATGCCGAGAGCAGTCTGACCTTTGGCTTTGGTCTGTGGTTAATGTCAGCCGTTTGAAGATGCTTCGGACGTGGTGGTTATTAGTTTGAACATGTTTGAAACACATATCGAAATGTCATGGGATTATTATGGATTATTGGAATGTACATCAACGAACTCTCATCCTGATGTTTTGTTGTTCAGGGTACAGTATCATATGAGACATATACGTATATGATATGTATCATCACGTAAGACGATGTAAAACGTAGATGTGCCGATGCGCCTGACTGACCGGTGAGTCGCCGGATCGCAGAGAAGCCGTTTCCAGACCATGCAATGCAGGTCCAACGGAACGCTGCTCTCCCGAGGGACAAAACGCATGAAATTGCATGAAAGTAGGCGAAAAATAATCGTCGACCTTCGGGTTTGAGAAGTACGCGGGAAGTAGACAGATTTAGCTGGGGTGATGCCATATCAGTTCGAAGCAACCTTTCCTGTTCATGTTCAACCAGGTGCAAGGGCGTTTGAACGACTTTCCTTTGCCGCTGCAACTGGAATGCACTTTGAGCATCCACCTATATGAGTCAAATTGATTCAAATTGAAAGGCCCGAGAAATCAGGGGACCATGGTGACATAGACAGTCTTTGCCTTGGTCTTTTCTATTGGGAAATCATGGGAAATCATCCCATCCACAAGTCTTTGCCAGCGACCGTGACCCATAATCACCAGGGCCAGATTGCCAGGTCCCGCCAAGTGATGGGAAGTGTGGGTGAAGTGTGGGTGAGGTTGACCTCAACTCTTTCACGCCTTCAGCTTCTTGAAGGGACAGAAGATGTGTTGCTTGGAGTTTGTGAAGCCAGGATGCGATACACAGGCTCTGGGGATCTCTGGGGGCCTTTGATCATGTGAAGCATATTGGAAGACATTGGAAGACATTGGAACCATCCTCCTGCCGTCTCCTGCCTGCGCTGCCTGTTTACCGTTCCATTGCTACTCTTTGCTACTGCCTTGGCCCTTTGACTTTGAATCGGTTTGGCGTAAACATGCGTAAACTTTCTTGCATAAATTCATATAATGCGACAATCTATGTTGGATACTGTGAGCACCTGAAAATTCAATGATACCAGCCTGAAAAGCACAATTTCATGGTCTTCCAACCTCAAGGCTCTGCAGAACCAGGGTCAGAATAAACTTGAAGATATAAACCATTCTATACAATTCTTGATTCTGCTTGATGTTGCAAACCTCGCAGTAAACCCACCTGTGGCAAGCGGGTGCAAAAATAACATTATTCAACCTGAGTTTTCCAATGTTGCTCGAACTAAAACCTCATTTGTGCCTCTACCATTAGAACTGAACCTAATTGTACCAAACTTTCCATAAACAATGATAAACAGTCATATCTTGTCATTGAGGTCAACTAAAATGACCAAAGAATTGGGTCGTAGCAGTGCCCATGAGGCTGATCGCCGCCAGCAAGCGCTTCGAAGATGCAGAGCTTCACTTGCCAAAGCAGTGGTGGAAGGCGGTCGGGCGGTCGCGGAGCGTTCCATTGGGAACGGCCACAGAAAATGGGGACCGAAGGATCCAAAGCACCCACAAAACGATGATGAAAATAGGATAATAGGCAATTTAATTTATGGCAATTATCCAGACAGGCCTATGGATGAGTTTGATTGAATCGATTGAAATCACAGAAGATTGAAGTGTAATGATGTTCCTCACATCCGGTCAGCGCAAGATACAAGATAAAAAACCATGTCACAGGTTTGCAACGTATTGGAAGAACAAGTTGACTTCGGATCGTGATGATAGTGATGATGATGATGATGATGATGATGATGATGCCGAGTCAACGTGTGAGAGATGGCCGTGCTGCACAAAAAGCTTCCTAACCATCCATCGCAGGGTGGACAGAAAGAACACGGAGAAGAGGGTACAGAACTTTCCTTGCGCCTTGGTTGGCAGTCTGATGGTTTGAGGTTGAGAAAGTGTTTTGTTTCATTTTCCAATCAACTCAAGCCCTTCGTTTGTGATGTTCAACGCTTGTTTGTTGGGCCCAACGATGGGGGGAACCCAAAGCCACAAAAATTGTCTCGGGACTATACTGAGCAGTGAAAACTTGTGCCAAGGTGGCAATGGGTGCGACTTGTGAATTCTGTGGAGCCAACGCCATGCTCAGCAGGCTTGACATAGCTGCTTGACATAGCTTGACATAGCTTGCCTGCTACTGATTTGCCAATGTTTAGGGAGGTTGCCTGTTCTCAAGCCGTTGAGTCATGTTGAGTCTGACAGGTTCAGCACCTCGGACTACGGAGAAGCTGGCCAAGCCATTTGCGGCCTGGTTGAGCGGTTTCTTGGAGGCCATGGATCCTTTGTGTGGAGAGAACATTGAAACGTCCCAATGTTGGAAAGGGACCTCCCTGATCGCAGGATTTCAACTTGGAGACTGAGCTGCTGTTTGCAGTTCTTGAAGAGCGAGAGGAGGGCCACGACCATCCCTGAGTACCAGTATGTGCCAAAACCATCCTAATTAAATCTAAGTAATTATATGTAATTATGCATGATTGCCGTTATTTGCCCACGCAGCTTATCAGGACATCAAGACCAGCAGGGAGCTTCTTCAGGAAAGTGTTCCACGGCCATATTGGATACAATACAGCATAATACGGACAGAAAGAACATGGAAACTGATCCGACTGAACTCCAATTGCCAGGGTCAAGAATGTCAAAGCCATTGTCAGTTTGCTACTACTGGTATATACTGTGTTGGAGCTCAGTCCGGCCATAAGGCTCTGCAAAATCAGTGCTTTCTCATGCCGTGGATCTCAGGCAGTCGCACGATACCGAGCGCGACTTTCGGCCTTGGACAGCCTTGGGCCCCGTTTCACTCCTTTTGCTGCACAGCTTGGTCTGAATTTTGCCACTTGGCTTTGAGCAGAATGTGACACGTGCTTGAATTTCTGACTTTCAATATCTATTTCAATCGTTTTCTGACTTTTTTCAGCATTGTGCCTTTGCAAGCCTTCCAGATGAATCCAACTGCCAAGTTTTATGCTTGGACAATTTGTGGAGATTGTCAAAGTTGAAGCGAGCTTTGATATGGGTGCAGGGAGTGCTGTACTCAGCATTTAGCGTATTTTAGCGTATTTTAATGTATTTTAGTGTCCAAATTTGCATGATGCCCTGCTTCTGACACTGCCTAGGAAGCCAATCCTCCATCGGATCTTCAGGCCAGTTGGGAAGATTTGGATCCTGCCATCCATGCCATGGACATCCAACTGGCCAACCATGGAGAAATCGATTTGAGACCATAAAAACCAACTTGGAGCAACGCTTTTAATGGAAGTCTAATATCGTTTATGTCCAAGTATATGCCTGAATGCTTATTCTTCACTAAAGCTGAGCAACTTGCTGAGTGCACTTGAATCATGCCGCATTGAGTTGGAACATCCCAAGAGGTCAGCAGAACAAAGAAATCCAACCAGTTGTGGCCTATATCAATGAGAATTGGCTATATAAGAACCTACTAGTAATAATAATTGTAATAATAATATCATATAATATCAGTTTGTCCTCAATGAGTAATAATTGTATAACTAGTATCCTGCTTTATGGATCTTTATGGTGCTTTCCTATATTTCATGGTGATGTGTTTCTCGAGGGCGAAGTTCTCTCGCTGTCCCAGGCAAAGGTGTGGCAGCAGCGCCGGGAGGAAGCTGCTGCATTGGAGGGGAGACTGAGGTGCTCTGCAGCTGGGCCGCTGGGGTTGTGAAGCCGAGAAGTCCCAACAACCAACCAGTTGAAAGATGTTGAAAGATGTTGACTCATTGGCAGCCACTGGCATAGTATATGATAGTATATGTCAAGGAAAACCAGGAAACATCCGGCAAGCATTGTGCCTCGTGGTGTTCAGCAGATCCAGATGATGCAGGAAGTTCCTGTGAATCCCTTGAAGCAAGTCTGGAATGAAGGCAACAAGTATGCGGCCAAGTTCAAAACTGACCTCAGACACGTTAGCCCTGCAGGTTTTTACCACATGATCTACCTGATGCTGGTGGCGAGCAGATGGCCACTGGAACTGCAGCTCCTGTCCTTTGAGACGTGTTGCAATCTGGGAGTGTGCAAAAAAAAATGCACGACAAGAAAAATCATGAACAATCCCCAAGCATTGATTAAACCTACCAGTCAGGACACATCCACGTTGGACACATCCATTGGATTTCTGCATTCTCTACACTGATTGCCATGCTTATATGATGCATATGAATACCGTGAAAGGGCAACACCGTATATACTTGTACAGTGGCTGGCAAAATTTGATTACTTTTGATTGGTTCCATATTTGTAAAACATCTCAAATTGTTCCAAAGTGTCATTAACATCAAGCCACCCACTTAATTAAGATGTAATTAATATACCTAATATACCCATTCCCATCCTACCATTCCAAGTGGTTCCCATTCCCCTGAGGCCGTTCTGCAGCACTTTGCCGTGGCCAACAACGGTGGCGCGGAGCCACGTGGCCATGGTGCGGTGTCGGGAGAGGAGTCGGAGGAGGAGTCGGAAGGCAGCTGTGGATGACCATGTTGATGGATTCTGATGGTTTTCGGAATATGATTCAACTAACTATGGTAAGTAATTATGTTTAATATATGTTACTATGGTTGAATGATGTGATGATATAATATTAATATGATATAATATAATTATTTATAAATCTATAAATTACTTTGATTTAATTTGCTTTGATTGGGAGCTGGTTCTTGGGTTGGGGTTACTTTGGGATGATTCAGCCAGTTGACGACACATGATAGTTAACATTGCATGGGTTTGAACAATCCGCCTTTTTCACTGCTGACGATTGATTTTCACCGCGAGGTGACAACTTTTTTTTTACCAACTCAGGATGAGTCAGGTCTTGTTGTAGGAGTGTTTGCAGTTGTTGCAACTTGAATAATTGTGGGCGGTCTGAATTAATAGGCCAATCCACATATTACTCTGTGTGTCTCTACGTCATCATGTTCAGTCTATCATACATGACAGTCAACAAGCCTGCCTTACCTGCAAGTCAAATTAACTAATGTGAAGTACGGCATTCCAAGAAGTTCATGCGCAAGCTGCATTTCAGATGTGGCCACATGTCACAACTTCAAACTGGTTTTGGGAAGCGCCTTGTTCTTTTGCAGGCGAAGATAGCAGCGAGCAAGTCCTGCTGAAACGAGGTATGCTGCTGGTCCCTTGGCTAGAAAGTCAGGACAGGTTTTGGGGGCCGACATTCATGAAAATTCAACAGCATCCCTTATTTGCATTTTATGCCCGTATTTGCATGTCATGCCAGTAAGATGCTCCATTGCTTATTATATGAGTTTATATGCATGCCTTGATTCGCAGTTTGCAAGGCACAGTTCTGACATTTGGGGTTCAGGCAGCACGTTAAAAAAAAAAAAACGGTTTGCACGAAATATGCCCATACAAGATCATGCAAACAGGATTGCGCTCCTTGATCTGAATTTTGATATGCCATTAGCTCCAGCTTATTAAAAAAATGCAGATGGAAGCGGGGCTGATGCCACATCAGGCAGCAAGTGATGCTACAAGCAAGCACGCAGATTTCAAGGTCCTCGCAAGGTGTGGCAGTGTTTCCCAGTACATTGTGGCCATGATTGCCATGGCTGCCATGGTGTCCCAATGTGTTGCAATGTTTTAAATGGAGCTCATTTCGTCATGGTGCTCGTCCTGAGTTGTTTCTCCCTTGCGGCGATGAATCTTGGTGCTGGAGGCTGATGCAAGACCTTTTGGAAAGAGACAAAGATGGGGATGTCTCTGGCGACGTCATGATTTGCACCGACAAGGCCCCATGTCTTTCCAGCCGCTTGACTGACTTGGAATCTCATTTGATCACTTAACTGGGAGATTGTATGAAATGTAGTGTAATGAGATTGTTGCACATCTGATGGAGTCCTGGAATCTAAATTGGCTGTAGCCAGCTAAGCTAAGGGACACATAGGACATAGTGACATAGGGGATATATAAGGGACAGTGGGTTCAGGGATTCTGTTGTCTTGTGAGGGCTGGGTCAGCTGTGTTCTTCCAACGTGTTTCCGAGGCTTGGGAGCTATGAAGCAGTTCTGCCATCAGTGGCCGAAGATATCTCTTCATGTGTCTGGCCGAAGCAATTCAGGCTACCTCCACGGGAGCCATACACATCCTCCTTAACTGCCTTAACTATTGTTTTATACGATTTATTTCAGTTTATTTCATATATGATTCGTTATTCACCTTTCTGCAAGAGAGTTTGCTGTGCCTTAGGTCAGCTACACTGGCTTAGAGAAATCATGGTCAAAGGAGATATCATCGCTGTTGCCCGTTGCAGATCCCCAAGGTGGCCAGACCGGGTTGCCGGGTTTCCTGCCTGTCCGGGTACCCATCAGCAACTTAACATAGTTCTTGAAAGTGATCTATTTATATATATATAGATGAGTGTGTTTTATTAAGTTGAGCTATTATAAGCTATTGACCATTGTGATTTTCCGTAGATATGTTAAAGCATCAGCGGGCAGGCGATTTGAAACTCCAGTTCTGAGCGGTCCATCATATGGGCTCAAACTGGATGTTTTTCTCCAAACAATTGTAAGGACATGTGTTTTATACAAATACAGATATATATACAGTATTAATCATTATTATATATACATATAACAATGTGTAAATTATATATCATTGTATATAATGATTCACGTATAAATATATGCACTTCTACATGCACACACACACATTTATATTGACACACATGCATATAGATATAATACATGCAAATGTCTCAACAATAAATGCACCCGTCATTTCACACTCATTTCACTATACAGAACCTGTGGCAACGGAAGCATTTTTGCCAGGAACAGTTCCACCGGATGGCGCAACACCAGCTGCCTTGGAGGAAGCGGTGCGGCGCGCACTGTCAGGACGCCGTGCGGGGCAAACGGTGGCCCTGTTGGGCACCGACCCAAGGGCGGCTCGGCAGGGAAGGCATCAAGATATGCCTAGAAAATGTGTGAATAGTTACGACAACAATTTGGGATTGGCCCAAAGATCATGTATCCATATATATATATATATATCCATATTATTAGTACCCCCAAAAAAACGGATGCCTGGCGGTCACTTAACATGATTCATTTTGTGGGCCCTTGCTGTAGCGCAAATTGGTGGAACTCCGTGGAACCAAGATGAACCGAGTGGCAGACCTTGAGCCAAGGTGCGGGAACTCTGGAAGTCAGTTTGCGCTACTGGTGTCCGCCCTTCTGGAAAGAATGTACCTGGAAAGAAGCGAGCTGCTTGGCCCATGGCGCCTTCAGATGGCCTTTCTGCCTGTCTCAGAGAGACCCCTACATCTTTCTAGTGGATCAAACACTTTCAGCAGTTCTTCTATTTTGTTGTTTGGCAGCATGTGTGCACATCAATATTTGAATATATTTGAATGTTATACTTGATTGTTTGTTTGGCCTGCACGGGCTGGCTGATCCATGGCTGAAGGGTGTTGGATGGCGTGAGGAGTGGCAAGACAAACTGAAGTACTTCTTGGCTCATCGGCCCCACGCATTTCGTTTGGATGATGGAGAGAAGCTGACCGTGCGGCTGGTGGAGAACAGAGACGAGGAGCAACTGCAGCTTTATCTTCGGGCCTATGACACTTTCAGGGCAGCTTGCGATAGGGATTATTAGCAACCAATTCCAACAATTGTATTTGGTAATATTTGGTATATATCCCTGTGCCAATTTCCACTACAAAGATGCTTGCCTTGAGGCCTGTACAAAATGCTGTGGAAGCCTGGTTTTTGTAAGGTTTAGGTACCTCAGAACCCTGATTTCCCGCACTAGAAGATGTAAAAAAAACCAATGTACTTTTGTAGGGAAGATATCTTTGGGTCCATGAAGGCTATGAACGATTTGTGTAGAATCCTCCATCAGTGCTACAAAATAATGTTGAGGCTTGAGGTCTCCAGGATGGTCGTCCCAAGTCTTCCTAGTCTTTTCATTTTGGCCCGTCACTTCATTTTGTATTGTTCATTTTAGCAATTTTGCATTTTCCATTTTGCTGGGGCGATTGCCTGACCTGGTGACAGTGGGAAACGTGCTTCAGCTGAGCTTCCAGGAGTCGGTGGCAGCCTTTGAAGACCTCCGCGCAGCAGTGGAGGAGACCATCCTGGAGTTCCTGCGCAGAGGGCAGACCAGCCGCGACCACAAAGGCCAGGGCCAAAGGGTTGAGGGAAAACCGGTCATTCTACTTCAAGAAGAAGGATGAGGATGAGGATGAGGATGATCGTTTTCATTCTCTTGCCAGGTGGTGGGGGCTACGTGCTAGTTGAGGACTGTCGTTGCAGTATGCGGCCCAGCTCTGCAAAACCAACATGACCAGGCACCCAACCGTTCCCCCTCAGGACGTGGCTTGCACCCCTCGCGTGTACAGCCTATGGCAAAAGCTACGGTTCGACTCCTCGGACCGGCTGGCCTTCTACTTGCGACACAATGAGGCCTCGAAATGCATCGAATTTCTGGAGACATAGAACCCTCCCATTTGGTTCTGCACACGACTGCACCAAGATTGCAGTCCTCCCAGTTGGATTTATATGGATTTATTACATGAACTTCAGTTTACTGGTGCAGCAACTCTTTCTTCATTGCAGGCTACACCAAAAATGACAATACTGCAGTAGTAGAGTAAGGCTTCAGGACATCCAACTGCAGCCAACTGCTTTTGGGCTTCTGGGTAGTCCTGAGTTCCTGCTGCATGACGATGGGTCAACACTCGACAAGTAGACCATGGTAGACCTGGCTGTTTGCAACGGAGGCCTTCGAGGTTTGGACGCCAGGACGCGCTGCCAGCGCAGCTTGGATATGCTTGGATCAGCAGTGCCCAGCCCACACATAGCTATCTTCAAGACATAGTCCCCAAAAAATGATTGGTCCAATGTTTTCTTCAACCATCTTCAAACCATGTTTTTGTTCTGAAAACCGCGGTTTGTCTTTTTTGACTTATTGTTGTCCGGTGCCACAATCATTTGGGGATTGTCTAGGGTTGACATTTTTTTTTCAGATTTTGCACCGCTTTGCCCAGTCTGGCCCAGGCAGATGAGGCTTTCGGCTTGAGAAGTGCTGTGCGAATCGATTTGCGGGAAGTCTTGAAAAAGGATAATAATGGGGAGGCGTTTCAGACCCAGGCATGCTCGCATGAATGAACAATTTGATGTTTGAATGAGGTGAAGTTAAGCGCGCCATGTTTAAAAATAATGTCAAACCTTGTGGTGTGAGAAAATGATACTATTGCTCTTACTGAGCACTACTGAGCTACGTCAGCTTCATAATCTTCATAGCCGAGCTGATTGCAAGGGTGATGGTCAATATTCTCAAGACTGTTCCAAGATTTGAAATTCTAGAATGGTGAGCAAAGCAATTTTGTCCTCACAGTGATCAATCAACCGCAGATGCGACTTCATGTCTGATGTTTCGCATTGCAAGATGCTACTGTAGCCTCTGCTAGCCTCACTGCATGCCAAAACTGGTGGCTTCTTATCCAGCAAGCCCACCACCTCATTCTTCGCGGGGTGGGCCTAAATTATGGGAACAACATGGAACAACAAGATGGTTGGAGCTAGACTGACACAGCGAGGTATATTTGGTACTTGTATGATTCTCAGTGATAAATCTGTCTTCTGTTTTCATCACGCTGGTTGAGGCACGGCTCTACAGAACATTGCCTGGAGCCTGGTGCAGTGGGTTCGTATCTGACGCGGATGACAGGAACGCTTGCAGGGGGGAGGCTTTGGGACGTGTCTCACTCATTGGATCCTGGACCACAATAATTACCCATGCTGAAAACATGCTGCAAACATGGAACAACTGGAAAAACCATGGGTTCCCCAAAGATTGTCCGTGCAGCAGTGCAGCAGCACTCAGTAAATAGCGGAGAACTTTTCAACTGAGGCCTCAGTGCTCGTCCAAGCCGGGAACAGCTTCCAGCCTCTCCAGTGCAGGACAGCACTTGGTGTGCCAAGGTGAATCATGATGAATCATGAATCATTGGTGAATCAATCTTTTTCCATTGGAATCCATTGGATCATAGTTAAAATTGAATCAATTGTTTGGAGCGTCGTCACATGGAAAATCCACTTGTGCAGACAAGCTGGAAGCTGGATCAAGCCAAACTTAGTAGTGGATTGATGTGGGAAGTCTCTTCCACGAGTTCCATGAATTTTCCACAGGGTTTGTTTGTTCCAGTCTCCATAGTCTCAGCTGTGCAGTATTCCCCGCACTTCCAGAGCTCAATGACTACGAGCTCGCCTTACACTCCACCATCGCAGTACGCATGAGCCTTAGGATGTGAGGATATTTTGGCCCATGCGGCTAACATTTGCCACTGAGTGCTACTGTAATTCGTCCGTAGTTCACCAGTGCAAACTATGCCATCCATGCCTTCCATGACCATGGCAGCTATATTTGCACAACGTGATGAAACGAATCCAAAGAATACCCGGTACATCCCGGTACTCAGGTCACTGTGCGACAATATTCCTCGACGTCGGTTCAACTTCCTGCCCCACAGGTTAATTGATGGGTGGCTCTGCAAATCTCTGCTAGGATTTTCTGGAATATGCTAAAATTGTCTAATATGCTGTAGCTGAGAGGAATTATGCTGTACTGGTAGCTAGTAGCTCAAGGTGATCAGGCAGATCAAGAACTCACTATCTCTATGTACGCATATTTATTCGGCAATGCATCACGAAACGTTTCACCCCTGTGCAAAGTGCCGCAGACAGTTCAAAACATAGTGCCAGGGTATACCATGTGCGTCTGCCTCGCGATCTGCACCTGTTCCTCGACGTTCCCATCCATCAGCGATCCCACCGTAACTGGGCTTCATATGTTGACCTATGGCCCTTGTTTCCTTGGGTGATATATGATGATATAATATTATAATATATTATAATATGATATAGATATAATATATGAATATAATTGATGGAGGATGATACGGATCGATATCGAATGATGCAGAAGAGCATTCTGGGGCATTGACTGTCCAAATCTTAATTTTAACATTTGCGGGTGGGAAACCCTCCCAAAATCGGTCAAATTGGTCTGATGCTATGGCCAGCAGCTGCTTACGAGCTTCAGGCTTGATAGATCCAACAAGTGTATGACTTGCCATGAGCGAAATTTGTGATTGAGAAGTCGTTCAGGTGACACATGCTATTTGTTGAAACATTTTAAATCATGTTGAAACCATTCCCTACGATTTTCTGCGGTAGTTGGCCTCGGTGCTTTCTCTTTTTCTTCGCAATACTTTGATCATATACTTGATAATCTTAATGTCATGATGACAATTCATGATAATTTATATTTATGTTTAGATTGATTGAATTTCAACTTTCGGTGACCTTCGGTGCTCTTTCCGAAGGCAGCTGTGGCCGGTCACGGAGACATCTTCCCAGCCGGAGCCACAGCCGCCTTTGAAGCCTGGCGAGAGAAAGCTGTCACAGGAGACCACCCGTGGCCGTGGCCATGAATGGGTTGGTAAATGGAGCACCCTGAAAATATATGAAAATATCTAATTTAGACACATTAGAAAATCAAACATCACGGAAATAGTTGCATAAAGTCTCAATCCATTGGTAATTCCATGTAATTCCATTGGTTTGTGACCTGGTTTCCTAAAATTGCATTTTCTCAACCTACGAGTACATTTTTTTCGAATTTTCAGAGCAACATCATACACGGGTCAAAGCTCCATACCTCTTTAAACATGTAGCATCGTGTAGCTATACTGCTATACCATGTTTTCAGTTCACTGTATTCAGCATCAATATTTGGCCGGAGCTACTTCAACATACTTCAACTGCTTTTCGACCCAGTTCACATCCAACACGATTGTGCGCTAGAAGGAGAACCCCTTGATGTCAAAGCCACCACTGGAAGGGCATCGGCCTTTCCTGCAGGCCTCGTTTGTGTGTGTGTGTGTGACATGATTTGACCATGCAACACAAAATGTCCGGGAATTTGGTTGGGAATTGACAAGCAGACCCTTTACCGTGGCTGCCAAAACTTTGAACCTGATTGTGCATGTTTGTGTGAGAATGTGGTGAATTAGTCTCTAGTGCGACTGGGTGATTTGTCAAGTGTGACTGTGAGAGCTATCAGGATAAGAAGGTTCCAGAGATGCCGAAGAGACGCAGCCGGCAACCAAGATGATCCAAGTGCCCAAGATGAGAAACTGTGCACTCAACATTCATTCAACATCATTCAACTGTGTCGTAAGGTCGAGCGGAGTCTGCAAGCACACAAGAGAGCCTGGGTCCCAAGCTCCTCACAAAAGCGCATGCCGTGGTATGCCATAGGCCTTGTTCAAGTCGGGACTATCGAAATTCCGGAACCGAATGGAGAGATTGTGTGCCCGTGTGTGTGTGTGTGCGTGTGTGTGTGTGTCCATGATTTTTCGTCCAACTATGATGTCATGTTGCACCGTAATTATGTCTCACTTGTTGATGCCATTCCCACCGACTCTGTACTTTCGACATGCTTTCAGGCAGTGCCCAGACGAAGACCCCGGAACGCTTGGTTGCTGAAATCAGCGAGGTGTGAGCCTTGCCGGGTTGTTGATACATGGCTAGCGCCAGCTTTTCAATCGGGGCAGTCTGAGTGTGTGTGACAAATCAGGGGGTCCCAAGGTGCTTCCCATTCTCCACCAGCATGCCGGAAATAAGATGAAATAAGTGTAGAGGTTCCAGACGCAAATTTGTTCTGTATTTGATGGTTCTGCAGTGCTGCATCCCTAATAGTAGCAACTTTTGCTCTATCAGCTGATTATCAGCTGCATGTCCGAGCGGGCAAGTCTCTGGGAGTTGATCCAACTGTAGTTAACCAGGTTTCTCCCAAAGATACCTTTCCACAAGGCATTTCAGCACTTTCAGCCACTGATTAAGTGCAGGAACCTGTTGCGCCAGTGACTTTGATGGACTTGCAGGCCACAAAATTATCAGCCCTGTGACTGGGAAAACTCAGTTCAATACATCACGGCAAAAGCGCACTGCAAAACGGAGACTTCCAAGAGATTCCTAATTCTTAGTCCCAATCTCCAACTGGAAGTTGCAATATGCATAATAGACACGGGTCACTCTGAAATTCGAGCAGTCCTATGCAGGCTGCTTGTCCGATTGAAACGCTGAAAGCAGGGGTCTCAAGGGTCTCCGAGTCCCAACAGCATTGGAAACAAGGTGAAGGTAGGACAGAATCCTCTGCAAATATTTGCCATGAACCATCACCAACTATCACCTATCATTCACCAATCATGTGTTACACATAGAGGGATATCATTGGTCAGGGAAGGAGAATGAAGCTTCCATGAAGTAGCCAATGTTGAAGTGAACAATTGTCAACACAAAATGAACCAAGGCATCATACATTGCTTGATGTGGAAAGTCCACACCAGGATCACCAGGTTTTTGCCATGAAATACTCAGGCAGCTTGCTTTCATGTGGTGGTCAGTACAACCAATACGTTTTCCTGGTAACTTGTCGTAACTTCTCCCTTCATCCAACCTGGAAATCGACCAGTCAACCACCCGGCAACCGCTTGAGGCTATACCTGTCGTGACGGATGCTTCGGCGGCTTCGGTCATCGGTCCCAAAATCTCCCTGGGTGGATTTTCCTAGTGAGGGCATGATCATGATATTTGAAGATTGAGGATTGGTTGGTGATTTGTTTGGTAGTGATGATGATGATTATTATTAATTATTATTTTCATTATTATTATTACTTTTATTATTATTACACTTATTATTATATATTATTATTTACTATTTTTCCATCATCATTATACTATTATATTATGTTATGTTTTGTTATATTACATTGTACCATATTACAGTACATTATATTATTATGGCAATTGGCCCAAAGTGGGTTACAAAAGAGATTAAAGCATTGATTAGTGATTGGCCGACGACTGGCCAAAAATTACTGTAGCACAAGAATATGTGCGTAATGGTAGTTGAACAACATTGAACAACCAACATCCAGTTTTCCTTAATTTCTTGCACTTTGACTTGTCTCTATCCAGAGATATTTTTGGAGCACAGGCTGCATCTCTCTCAGGCCCCCAAATCAAGTGCCACTGATAGGCTGCA